TGCAGTGTGATTTTCACAGCAAGAAAGAAGCACATGACAAATTAACGTGGTGTGCACATGCAGACTGCTCCAGCCACAGGCCAGTACAGCTGGAAATGGAATTTAGATTTTAATCAGGCAGGTTTATTGGTTCTTGATCTTTTTTTATCACTACTTACCATTCAATGTTGTTAACAATAACCTGGAAGAAAACAGAAATTGTTTCTGATAAAGCCCTAGATGACAAGGAACAGAAGTGCAACATAATTTGAAGAACATGTCATCGTTAAAGGATTATTTTAACTATCCAGGAAGACACAAACCCCGCTCATGGCAATACAGAGAAGCTGAAGGTCACAGTTCTAGGAATGGAACATGCAAGCTGCTTTTATGGCATGGCCAAAAACAGGTTCCTACATGGGCCAGCAGGGAATTATTCAGAAAAACTGGGACACCAAAATGGCTCTGCTCTCGGACATCGTGTTTGATGGTGTCTTTCACAGCCTCTACCTTCCTTGGCTTTCTCCCACTGGTTCCAATTCTCTCCTGATGCTTCCCAGCCCTGCCACCAGCATTCCCAGCAGGTCTCCAGGGCTTTGGTCCACCTTCAGCCTTCCCCCATATCCCAGGAGCTCTGGGACTCATAAATTCACCCTTCTCAAGAAGCCTGGCAGCCAGCAATGAGTGCAGAGGGTGATGCTGGCCTGGACTGGGGAGCTGAGAGAGCATCATGGAATCCCAGCATGGTTTGGATTTGGAGAAATTAAATCCCACCCAGTGCCACCCCTGCCATGGCAGGGACACCTCCCACTGTCCCAGGCTGCTCCAAACTTCATCCAGCCCGGCCTTGGGCACTGCCAGGGATCCAGGGGCAGCCACAGCTGCTCTGGGAAATCCATTCCAGGGTCTCCTCACCCTCCCAGGGAATAATTCCTGCCCAAAATCCCATCCAAGCCTGGCCTCAGGGAACAATTCCTGCCCAAAATCCCATCCATCCCTGCCCTCAGGGAACAATTCCTGCCCAAAATCCCATCCAAGCTTGGCCTCAGGGAATAATTCCTGCCCAAAATCCCATCCATCCCTGCCCCCTGGCAGTGGGAAACCATTCCCTGTATCCTGGTTCTCCCACAGAGCTGGGGGAGAGAAGACCTTTGCCACCTTTGCCACCTTTGCCAAGCAGCTACTCAGCAGAAGCCCATGACAAAGAGCACAAGTCAAATCCTTAAAGAGAAGTGACTCATGTTTTGTCTGCTACTCCACTTTTCCAGTGCTCAAACCTCAAGAAAGGCTATGGAAACAGCTCAGAGGAGAATCATTAAGGGAAAAGAAAAAAAAAAAAGCATTAAAGGAAAATAGGTTTTCCTAAAAGCTTAATGAGCCACTTTAGCTCATCAAAGAGATGGCTCACCTTCATTTCTCAGTCCCTGCATGGGAATCAGCTCCACTCATGAGAAGTCTGGTCAAAAAGGCTCCTTTCTCCGATTCATTCCTGATGTTACATTATTCAGACAAAAGACCTACAGGATTAAATCACTCTCCCCAAATTAAGATGCCTGTCTCTGACACATACCTGTATATTTCATTTTATGTGGTTGTTTACATCATTTTATCAACTTCCTTAGCAGCAGATTCTAAAATGTGCCTACTCAGACCCTGCAGTTTAAAATAGAAAAAAAAAAAAGTAGTATAGTCAAGAGAACTGTGACAATTTGAGACGCAGGCAGGGAAATCCTCTCTCTCATTTCAGTGTGAGGGGTTGGTCACGGTGTTACCTGTGCTGTGTACTCTTGGTGCTACGAGGTGTCATTTTTAGGTCGTTTACCCTGGTATTACTATTATTACAAGTTTGCTCTGCGTGCAATCAGGACTTTCTGAGAACAATCCCTGAGAAAGGAGCTTTTTGTTTGTTTGAGTTGTGTAATGACTCAGAGCTGGGGCAGCCAGGTGACGTTGGTATTGCACCAACCCATCCAGCACCGAGCTTCAGTGGGCACAGCCCGAGCTTGGGTTCTTCTATTAACGTGCAAAATCTTGATTGCAATTCCTTAAAAAGTTCCTCCTTGATATAAAAGCAACAGGAGACAGCAGCAGCAACACCTAGGAAAATGAACTTTGCCATTTAAAAAATGGCTGAGTCCGTGTTTACTTTGGCTGGAAGACAAATCACACATCATTTAGCTCTCCTACAGAAGATTAACAAATATTTTCTAATCTCACATTCTTCACATTTATACATCAGTGGCATCACTCCTGATCTATGCTAAGTGAGATCACTGCCAGGATCTTGCATTTAGGTATTTAAAATAAGAGTTGTGAGCAGCAAAAAGCCAGAAAATGTCAGCACAACTGTCACAGACCGAGTGGAAGGTCATGGCAAAGTTGTTCTCAATTTGCGCAGAACCAGTGACTCACAAGGTAAATAAATTCTCACATTTGTCTTCCCACGTTTAGTGCAGCTCTCAGTTTTTAGCCTAGCTGCTTTTCTTGAAAACAAAAAGCAGCTAAAGGCAGCGTATTTATTATTTTGTGTGCTTGGCTTTCATCCTCTCTGCCCACTAAACTATTCCTTAGCATGAAGAAAATGCAGAGTTTGGTGATGGAGCCACAAACAAAATCCTTCCAGTGTCTGCTGGAAGGCAGCATCCGATTGGAGCTCCTCAGTGAAACCTACACGTCCAGTTGTATATCCTAGAAACAAAATATTTTGTTATAGCTGTTGCTGAAATCACAAGCACATAAACTGACACAGACATTCAGGGTGTGTTATCAAGGGAGTATTCACATTCATTCTGAATTCATCAGAGTGTATTTTCTTGGCTGACTCACAGCCCCATATATACGTATCATTCACTTAAGGACATTTTATTAGAGGAAAAGAGTTTACATTGAAAGATTACACAAGTGTGACATTACAGAGCCATGAGTCACACATCTTTGTGTACAGCGTTACCATGCATTCAGAGCATTGATTCTGCTCCAGTCACAGAAGTTTGGCTGCTCCTTCTGGCCAACCTGTGAACTTTTAGAATGAAAACTATAGAAAGTTAAACAAGAGCTATTCCTGATTTTAAAACACGTGTAGCTATTGAAACGATCATTTACTCACCCTAGCAACTGAGTTTTCCCGAGGTGGTTAAACACAACCACAAGCCTGGGATGGGCTCTGCTGAACAGGCTCAAAGTGCTTGGGAGAACCAGAGCCCATCAAGGATTCCTTCCCCTAAATGTGAGAGCTGTTCTCCTGCACCCTCCTGATTTCCAGCTCGCTCAGAAACCCCTCTAAAAGGGATTGCAAAGGGAATATGAAGGAGGAAAGGAGAAAGCATAGCTCTTTCTTTGAACAGGCTCTCAAAGAATCAGTCTGTCCCTTAACAGATCATAGCTTTTTCCCCTTTCAGATCTGTCACTTTTGCTCCTGGATGATGGCCAAGCAGCCATGATCCTCAGGAGTCTGGAGCACGTTATCAGAAGTTATTGGAGAATTGCTCCTTCAGAGTCAGCATCTGAGCTAGAGGCCAAGGTAAGGGAGAAGAAGCACAATCTTCCCTTCTGAAAAACCAAGACCATAAATTGCCTGCAACCAGCGGAGATCACAGAAGCTACGTGCATTTTTTCTCTCATAATGTCACATTGCAACATTGATTTTGGCAATCTTTGTGCAGCAAATGGAAATTCTGCTACAGAGCTGGACTTCCATTAAATGCAAAACTCCAGCAAAGACCATACAAGAGTGGCATCAAACACCTTTCTGCCAGCACCAAGATGCATCTGGGACCTTTAGGGTGACCAGTGCCAAGAGACCCGATCACCAGCTCAGCATGGGAACAGGGCATGTCTCTCTCCCCCACTGTGCTCCTGACACCTTCCACTCTTCTTCCACCTTCTTTTTCGGAGTCTGATTGCACCACATGCCCCCGGGATGAGCCTGGGTTGTGGGGCAGCTGCTCTGAGGTGTTGGGGGGGCTCAAACCCCTAATTCATGGTGTTTTTCTTAATGTCCCCAGGGCAAGGACCCCTCAGCACTCCCCATCCACAGCAAAGTCCCTGCTGAAGCTTGTAGCTGTCAGTGTCCCCTCATGTCACAGGTGGTCCCTTGGTGTTTCCAGGTCAGGGAGCCCTCACTGCCCCCCACCCCCACAGCACAGGGTCCCCTCGTGTCACCCAGGAAGGGTCCTGGAGGTGTTTCCAGGGCAGGGTCCGCTGCAGCCCCTCATCCCACACGGCTCAGTGTCCCTGCAGCGGGGACTCCGAGATCCCCCGGTGCTCCCCCAGCTCACCGAGGCAGAGACCCTCAGTGTCCCCTCGCTGCCCTCCCCGGGCGGGGGTCGGGGCTCCCGGGCACTGACAGAACCGGGGATTGCAGCTCCCGGGCCACCGACAGAACCGGGGATTTCAGCTCCCGGGCCACCGACAGAACCGGGGATTGCAGCTCCCGGGCCACTGACAGAACCGGGGATTGCAGCTCCCGGGCCACTGACAGAACCGGGGGTCGCGGCTCCCGGGCCACTGACAGAACCGGGGATTGCAGCTCCCGGGCCACTGACAGAACCGGGGGTCGCGGCTCCCGGGCCACTGACAGAACCGGGGACTGCAGCTCCCGGGCCACTGACAGAACCGGGGGTCGCGGCTCCCGGGCCACTGTTTGTGCCGGGGGTCGGGGCTCTCCGGACACTGCCAGAACCGGGGGTCGCGGCTCCCGAGCCACTGCCCCTACCGGGGGTCGCGGCTCCCGGACCATTGCCCCTACCGGGGGTCGCGGCTCCCGGACCCCTGTTTGAGCCGGGGGTCGCGGCTCCCGGACCACTGTTCGAGCCGGGGGTCGCGGCTCCCGGACCCCTGTTTGTGTCGGGGGTCGCGGCTCCCGGGCCGGCCCCGATCCCCGCGCCGAGGGGAGGGCGGCGAAGGGGGCCCGTCCCAGCTCCGCTCCGCCCCGCTCGGGCTGGGACCGCCGCTGCCGTGTCCTTTTATACCGGGGCTAAATTTAGGCTGCGCCCGAGCCGCTGCCTCCCTCCCGCCCCGTCCGGGACGGACGCGTTTCCTCCGCTCCTGCAATTGGCCTGAGGCTGCCCGCGCCCGCGTTATAAGGTGCGGAGGGCGGCCGGCCGCGCTCGTCCCGCACCATGGCGCTGAGCGACACCGCCCTGCCCTCCTTCGCCACCTTCGCCAGCCCCTGCCGCGAGAAAGCCCTGCACGAAGTGAGTGCCCGGCACCGACGGCTCCGCGCCCCGCCGGGCGGTCCCCCCCTGCCCCGCTGCCCCGAGGCGAACGGCGCCTCTAACCCTCTCCCTTTTCTCTCTCCCCAGAGGTGGAAGTGTGAGCAGGAGGCCAAGACCCCCGCCGGCACCTGGGGCGGCCTCTCCCCGCGCAAAGAGGATGAGGATCTCAACAACGTGCTGGATTTTATCCTTTCCATGGGCAGCGACGGCTACGGCCAGGGCGCTGCCGGCGGGGATTATCCCCCTGCCCAAGGAGAAAGCGGTGGCTTTTACCAGACAAACCCGTCCCCGGGATGCTACAATGCCCTGGAGCAGGGCAGCCCCCCGCCCTACAACGCCGGCATCGTGCCGGAGATGATGCGTTCCGAGATGGACTCCAACTACTGCCCTTCTGGCAGCGTCCACGGCCGCTTCTTTGTGACGCCCACCTTCGGGGGCCCGCAGTTCGTTGAGAACATTAAGCCCGAGCCCGACATGGACAATTATGGACCGGTCCTGGGTCTGGTGCCCCAGGCTTGCCCGAAGATCAAGCAGGAGGGGAACGCGACCTGCATGATGGCCTACGAGCAGCCCCGGGTGGCCAGTTCCCCGCAGATCCCCGGGGCAGAGACGCCCCCGCTGAGCCCCGACGATCTCGTGGTGAACGAGTGCCACACGCAGATGATGTGCCCCTCGTCCGTGCCCTACCAGCAGAGTTACCACCCGGCCTCCGGCTTCCACCACCCGCAGACCCACCTCCAGTACCAGAACACCTCCCAGTTTGGCCTTTTCGAGGACAGCCTGCCCTTACAGCCCTCGGCTCCCAGGGGGATGCTTACCCCTCCTTCATCCCCTCTGGAGCTGCTGGACTCCAAACCAAAGCGGGGACGCCGGTCGTGGCCGAGGAAGAGGACGGCCACTCACACGTGCAGCTATGCTGGCTGTGGGAAGACCTACACCAAGAGCTCCCACCTGAAGGCGCACCTCAGGACACACACAGGTAAATATTGCTGCTGGCTTTTCACCTGGAGATGTGCTGTGTGCTGGCTGGGATAGCCCCGCGTGAAAGAGTTTGCAGCCTGGTCTTTTTTTGCCCTGTGGTCTGTTAAATTCACAGTTGGTGGTCAGGTCTGTGACATCCAGGTGTTCACCTGTGCAGTCAAAGCTTTGCTAAGGGATTCTAAAGCCTTTTCTCCAAAGATTTGCACTGCAGGTATAGGTGAAAATCTTTGGAGAAAGGGTTTGAGAAAGGGCTTTGGAAAAAGGGTTTGAGAAACGGCTTTGGAGAAGGGGCTTTGGAGAAAGAGTTTGAGAAGGGGCTTTGGAGAAAGGGTTTGAGAAGGGGCTTTGGAGAAGGGGCTTTGGAGAAAGGGTTTGAGTAAGGGCTTTGGGGAAGGGGCTTTGAGAAAGGGCTTTGGAGAAAAGCCTTTATGGTAAATGAATTTCTAGTAATTTAGCTTAAAAGCACTTGGACCTTGCCATGGAAGGTCTCGGTAGCGAATGGAGGGATATGCTCCAATCAAACTGGGCAGGTTGCCTGGTGTGTGGTGCCACGCTGAGTCACGCTCTCCCGTTTCCCCAACCAGGTGAAAAGCCCTACCACTGCAACTGGGAAGGCTGCGGCTGGAAGTTCGCCCGCTCCGACGAGCTCACCCGCCACTACCGCAAGCACACGGGCCACCGGCCCTTCCAGTGCCACCTCTGCGACAGAGCCTTCTCCAGGTCAGACCACCTGGCTCTGCACATGAAGAGGCACATGTAGCCCCAGGGAGCCTGCCCTGCCCGCTGTGGACTTGACTGAACTGCTCAGGTGCAGAAGAGTTCAAAAATCTGTAGCTGGTACTACATAAGGGAGGCACCGACAGACCGAGCGACGCTCCAGGACGGACACACAGACACACACACGGAGGATGTGACACGAGGAGGCTCAGCCAAAATTCCTGCAGGGAATTCCTGCCTGAGTCAGTGACCTGCCCGTCCCGGTCAGGAGAACAGGGGTTAATTTATGCAGCTTCTGTGAAGGGTAAACTCCATAAGACTCCATACAGATTGTATAGAAGAAGCTGTAAATATGTTGTTTGTTTTTTTTTCCCAATTCTAACTGCCCATTCCTAAGCTTTACAAGACAATGTTTGTATGGAAACTGCCTGAAGTTGACCCTAGAAGAGGTAAAATGAATGTTACTGTAGCTAACGATGTTAGTTTAGATCTCAGTTGAAGGCATGGCTAAGAGAACACTCCTCTTGTTAGACTGTTTGGTTCACAGGTGCAATAGTATTCTTGTTTGCCATGATCTACACTAGAAGTACAGGGCTTGATGTCTTGTAAGAAAATAACCTATTTACTGTAATTTTTTTATATATTGTAAATAATTTTATACAATGAGAAATATTGTATATGTAAATAGAAGACAAATAGGTATTTTGCCTATTTTCTGTTTTTATAAAAACATAATTTTTCAATGTTTGAAAACATTTCATCTTTTTAATAAAATAAGATTTTAATTGCTGTGACTTTTATTCTCCTTTGAGATGTCCCTGTTACTTTTTCCCTGATGGCTGGATCAGCAACCACCTGATTGTGTTTCAAATTCTCAACAACTGTAACAAGACACTTAAAAAAAATCTGAGCCATGGATTTGTCTGAAAGAGATAACAGAGTGAGTAAGGTACTCTCGGTGGTAAATAAGACATAGTACAGTGCTTTATCAAAAAATCAAATAGGAAAGTAGATCATATTCAAAATATACTTCCTAAAAATGGTTAAGTAAGCAACACTGCAATTTCAGTCTCATTTCTAGTTTATGCTAGACTATTTTAATAGCATTCTTAATGTTTTCCAGATGCAGTTATAGTTTTGCCAGCAGTGTGTGGGTTTTTACTATAAATTTAAACACTGCATTTTTGTAATTATGGGGGCTTATTTTAAGGCATTCTTGTACATAAATTATCCTTGTTCTCAAGAGCTCAGTGCAGAATTCCAATAGAACAGTAGTGGAATTCAAGCATGAATTCACAACACAGGTTAAAATACTTTCATAACTCATTCCCCAAAACTTAAATTCACTTCATAATTTGTAGTGCCACCTAGATTTCAGGAGTTAAGACAGTTATTAACTATTTGGTAGGGGAAATCAGCCAGGAATCGAGATTCTGAAAACTAATTGCAAGTAAACTGGATGCTGCAACATCTAGAGCAGTAAAGACGGCTACAAAAGTCAAATTGAGCCCCCCAAAAATTCCTCAGAGCTGTAAAGGAGCTCAGAAGGCCAGGCAGTAAATCCAAGCAGTTGTTCTGACACTCTGATGGGCACCCTCTGTCTTTAGAGCTCCTGTGTTTTGGTGAGTTTTGATACTTGTGTATTATTAATCAAATAAGCAGATTCAGCCTAATACTGCTGCATTTTTTCCCTTGACATATGGATTCTTTGAACTTGGTTTTAATCAAGATTGTGACCTTTTTTTTCTGACTTTACTTGTTAGAATACGCAAGAATGAAATCAACAGGAATGCATTTAGAGTAACTACAAATATAGCTGTTCTTCTGTGAAAGCAAAGGCTGGAGTTGTTCATGTGGAACAGATGTATTTTGGGCTTCTAATCATTGGCATGGAAGAACGAGTTCCACATTTCACTTTTGTAGCTCTTTCAAAGTGAAATATAAGGGAGCCTTAGTGTTTCCTCATCAAAAAAAAAAAAAAAAAAAAAAAAACACTCATTTATTTGCTAGAAAAAATAAATTGCACAATCTAATTCCAGAAAGTGAGGATGACTTAAAGATGTTCTAAACTTGGCACATTCATTGTTGCAACAGTTCTAGGTATTTCCTTCTCTTTCCCCATAGCTGAATATTTTCATATTTCAGCATGCCCTTTGGTGTTTATAACTTCAAGAAGACAACTTTTAAAATTCTTACCCTCATCTCTTCATACTCCCCTGGCTTTCCCTTGCTCTTTCTGAAGAACTGGAAATGCTTGTAATTGTTCCCAGTTTTCAGCATTCCCAGTTTTTGTTATAACCCAGGTTTCAGTAACACGGTGCAAGCTTACACGATTCCCTTTTTTGTGATGCAATTTAAAAGACAAAGAGGTGTGACACCTCAGCCCCGAATCTGCCTTGGGAAGAGCTTTCCAGTGAGGGAGATCTTGGAAGCATCACAACATCACAGCACAACTTACCTGGCTCTGCTTGTCCCCAGCCCTGTCCTGACCTCTGGCTGGTCTGAGCAGTTCCCTTCCCTTCCAAATCCTCAGCCTGGAGAAGAAAAGGCTTCAAGGAGAGCTCAGAGCTTCTCCCAGTGCCTAAAGGGGCTCCAGGAGAGCTGGAGAGGGACTTTAGACAAGGGCTCAGGTGGCAGGACACAGGGAATGTCTTCACACAGCAGAGAGCAGGGTTAGATGGGATTGGGAAAAAATTCTTCCCTGTGAGGGTGGTGAGGGACTGAAATAGAATCCCCAGAGAAATTGTGACTGCTTCATCACTGGAAATGTTCAAAGCCAGCTTGGATGGGGCTTGGAGCAACCGGATCTAGTGGAAGGTGTCCCTGCCATGGCAGGGGTGGAACAGGATGGATTTTAAGCTCCCTTCCAAGCCAAACCATTCTGGGATTTTGTGATTCAGGACAGAATTGCTGTGCCACTGAATGGCACAAAGGCATTGTGTGCTGCTCAAGGCCTTTGTGCAGAAATAAATGTCACCACGGTCACCAACCCATAAAAAACCCTCATGTGGCTGCTCTGCAGCACCCCCACACTGGGTGCTTCTCCTCCTCCTCCTCCTCCAGCCCCTCAGCATGGGAGCATCCAAATCTGCCTTTGCTCCAGGTGAGAGTCTGGCTGTGAGGGTTATCACCTCTGCTGCCTCTGCTCCTGCTCACTAAAAAGTCTTCAGATAAGACAGCTGATATCTGCTATCAGGCAGACATTTGTGTTACCAAACAGTGCTCAGACCCTGATGAGCAGTGGAGATGTGCAAAGAGAAGCAGGTGGTGCTCTCTGAGTTTTCAGATTTGTGACTCAGCTGAAAATAGAGCACAGGAATCCCCATACATAAATATAAAAGACATATAAAAATGATATAAAGTCAGTCCGCTGAATGTGGGAAGGGATGGGGGGACAAAGCACTAATAAAAGTTCACAAGAAACTTTCTTGTCATTGTTTAAGGGAGGGCATCTGTGATAATAGATGTGTGGTCTTTACAGGAAACTGCACGTTCTTGAATCTTGAGATCATCTCGTAGCAGGAAAAAAAAAAAAAGAGATGCTGATCTCATTCTTCTCACATTCTATTATGAGTAATTGTCAACTCTCTTTTTTTTTCCCCTTTCTTTAATTGTTTTAAATGAGTACATCCAAAGATACTCTGTAATTCCAGTGATCTACCCAGCCTCTCCTAGCCAGCAGGAAACCACTCATGTTCCACATCTTTTAATAACTGACCATCAGGTTGTCATCTCTTAATTTTGTTCTAATTAACCATCTGCCTCCCAGGGAGCATCCACAACCTGCAGCTATCGTGGATTTGATTTTGACATACCAGGGAAAGGAAAAAACTAGAGAAGTTGTAATTAAACCTGATGGGAGGAAATGTAGAGTCCATTGAAAACAAGATTTTCACAAATATTAATATAAGATACCACAGCTATGGGCTCCCTATTGTTGTAAGATAGATTGTGAGGTGACTTAGAGCAGTTTAAGTGCAGAAATAAGCAAATTCTGCACAATGATCCTTTAGTAAATATTGCTAAACTCAGGTACCATCCAGAGCAGTCACTGCTCAAAGTCGGATCGTTCCACGTGGAGTTTCAGAGCGTTGTGTTTCACTCTGCTGAAAATGGTTTTTCCTCACCCACTGACTCGAGAAGAGTTAAACTCTGAGATGGGACCTCAGTGTCAGAACACACTGTAATTCTGAAACAGCCCAGAGCAGGGCCAGGTCCAGCCGCTGCAGGGCTCAGTGTGGCTCGGTCACCTCTTGGCTCTTGAAGGGGACACAGCACCCAGCAGCAATCCAGAACCAATCCAGAACCAATCCAGAGGCAATCCAGCACTGGTGAAACAACCCAGCACCATCCCAGCACCCTATACACAACCAGCACCCAGCAAGCAGCAGGCAGGACACTTTCAAATATCTATTTTTTTTTAACCCTAAAGTAGAAGGCTGAACTATAAATCCCCTGGAAGTTTATTTTAGATTCAGTATTGTAGCTAATCACATCTGGGAGAGCTGAAGCTTTAGTGCTGGACATGGCTCACCTCATGCAGGATGGGGCATTTCAGCCTGTGTGAGCTCTTGGTTACTCACAGCCATTTACAAACTGCCTGAAAACATTGCCTGGCTCTAAACTTTGGTCTTCCATCCACAAGAATGCCAAAATAAGTTTGTCCACTCTTCAAATTATAGGATTGTGTGGTTCTGTGGTTTTCTGTGGTAGAAGCTCTGTGGTTTCTTAAGCTATTTTGTGCACCTCTAACACAGAGTAGCTGTTAGGCTTTGCTTAAATTGAATTTTTGAAGCCAGAACCCCAAGCTCCAGCAATTTCTTTTGCTATATTTAGAAAAAACAACTACAACAAAGTCATGTAGCCATCACTATGGTAACTAGCAAAAAATTCATCCCAAACCCTGTGGAATTTAACAGGGAAAAAGCCATCCCCATTGCTAACATCCAAAACCTTCTTGGGGGCATCTACAAACAAGCTCTGTATCATTTGATCCCAAACCCATTCCCTGTCACTCCAGCTGAGATTGGGAGCAGCCCCTGCCACAAACCAGCTCCTTCCACTTGCACCACACAAAGGATGCACAGATTTATCCTGAACTTGTTAGGTAGAAAATATATTTGATTTACTCTTTTGAGGTCTGATTTTTCAGCCACAGTTATTTGATCTTACAATATTTACTGCAGACACTAAAGAGGAACTATAAGGACTGCTTTATAGAATGAAGAAGGGTTAACTTTACCAAAACCTCCTCTCTCTCAAGGAGAGCAGAAGCAACCAAGTTTTCATCTGCTCTGCAACCACTGTTAGCATTATTTACCTGCTTTTTTACCTGCTCCCATTGTAAATACTTTTCTGATTTCTGATTTTAGCAAATCAGAAATTTTCTGCCTGTTGTCGTGAGCATAAATTCAGCAAGACAGAAACTGCAGGTGAACTTACCTGGTACAGGTTTATAACTAAATAGGGTATTGCTTTAAATCACTTTTACTTCAGTTTCTTCTTACAGCTCAGAGCATACCTGGGTTCTGACTCATTATGTCACAAAGAAATATCTGGAATATCATTTGGATATGATCTTCTGTGATATTTAATATGTCAGGTGAATAACTACTTAGCCTGAGGCTTAAACACAAAACAAAAAAACACACAAAAATATCCTCAGATCCCACCAACCACTTTTTTACAGCCTGTGTGCAATGACAGCATGAGTTTTGTTATCTTAATGATTTTATATTATGTTTGCAAAATAAGGGATATGAAGTGCCTGGATGTCCTTTCTGTGCAAGCAAGG